TGTTCATTTTTTTCTGTACCCTTTTTAGTTTAACATCTTTCCTATGGCAGGGTAAGCAGAATTGTATGTAGTACTCTCAAAGCGGTCTCACCAATATCTTGTACAGTTTGTCTAGTTTTCTCACATCGCCCATAGAGAACAGCTTCATTCACATAATGAGGGAAGTAAGAACTGCCGATGCTGGAGTCAGAGATAACACAGTGTGGAGCTGGAGGAACACAGCAGGCCAGGCAGCATCAGAGGAGCAGAAAAGCTGATGTTTCGGGTGGGGACCCTTCTTCAGAAATTTCTATAACCACCAGATTAGAATGGTTGCCTTCATGCTTATGACCATTTTTGGCAATTTGTTCTTCAAAATAAGGATTTTCTATCTAACACACAGATTAAAATGCAGGGATTTGAGACTCTCCACGGAACAGAGTATGCTCGACTAAGGGCCTGTATGACTGTTCGTGTTATCTCACAAAATATATAGTTTGATTCTGTTTGCAGTTAGATTCTGACATAATTTCATCCAAACTACAAATACTTCCCAGTGGCAAATAGAGGCCTAAAGTGTGACCCACCAGAGGAGTGTGAACAGAGTACAGGAAAAACATCTTTCCTTTCAATCAATTTTTCTCTTCCCGTCCTTTGGTTTGAATGTTGACTGAGGTTGCTGCCTTCTGATAGACTGGTGACTACACTCAATTGAAAATAATACCCAAAGTAAATAAAAGCATAAAGCGTGAGGCAATGAAATCAAGACAGTTTTTCCTTTCACCTTTGGAACCTTATGTTACCGCCAGCCAATTAAATGTAATGGGCCAATGTGTAAAATGAGGTTAAATAATCCGTATCCTTGCTTCCAGTTGCAGATTCTCACAAAAAGCTGATTTGACATACGTTGGCAATCGCCCTTCTGTCTATATGAAAGGTAGCCATTGAGAAATGAAAAAGGAAACTCACTATATAACCAGTGTGCTTCTGTATACTGTGCAATGTATTCTGAAGCCAGTAATACAGTACTTGTCCTGAGAATGTTTTATGTGGAATGTTGTCCCCTGATGTTTAGTCAGAGGTAGAGAGATTATGGGTGAGGCCTAAAAGGGCCAAAGAACATGATGGGGCCAGAAGTTTTATGCTCTGTTTCCCAATCTGCAGCTGACCAGCAGGAAAGAAGGTACAGTCATGCAAGAGGCCAAATGGGAAGCCTTAGGAGGTCCTCCACAATTGGGTGGTGGGAGTGAGTTGCAAATGAGAGAGCTGGGAGAAGATCAGCACCTAGAGCTGTGGGGGTCAAATGGCTCCATCTAGAAGGAAGTGCTCATAGCTGCTGAACAATTGCGAAAAGAAACTGTGTGAAGCTGACAGCACATACCTCCATTTCAATACTCGTTTTTCTGACCCCTGCTCTGTGGGAGCTTGATTTAAAATTTAATCACTAAGTACCTCAAATTTCCAAACGAGCACTCTGATACTACAGTACCTATCAAAGAAAAGACACATAGAATCCATTATTAAGGAAGTAGTAACAGGTCATTTGGAAAGTCAAAATACAATCCATCAGAGTCAGTATCGTTTTAAGAAGGACAAATGAGGTTTGACTAATTTGCTAGAGTTCTTCAAGGTGTAACAAGCAAAGTGGATAATGGGATCCAGACGATGTAGTATAACTGGACTTCCAGAAGACATTTGATAAGGTGGTGATTTATTAGTTTGGATAGAGGATTCGCTAATCAACAAAGCAGAGAATCAGGAAAAATGGGTGTTTTTCTGGTCGTCAAGATGTAACCAGTGGAGTGTGACAGGGTTCGGTCCTCAGGACCCCAACTACTTACAATCTATGATGATTTGGTTGCAGGGATAGAAGATCCCGTAGCCAAATTTGCAGATGACACTAAAATAGAAGGGACAGTAAGTTGCAATAAAGAAAAATTACAAATGGATATGGATAGATTAAGTGTATGTGCCAAAATTTGCCAGATGGAGTTTAACATGAATAAGTGTGAGGTTATCCATTTTGATTAGAAGAATTGCAAAACAACTTATTACCTAAATGAGAGAGATTTCAGAATGTTTCAGGTCAGAAGGATCTGGGTGCCCTTATGCATGAATCACAGAAAACTAGTACGCAGGTACAGCCCGTAATAAGGAAGGCAAATGGAATTTTGACATTTATTGCTAAAGGAATAGAGTATAAAGGTAAGGAAATGTTCCTACAACTGTACAATGTATTAGGAATATTGGACACCGTTTTCATTCCCTTATGTTAAAGAGAGATGTAGTTGCATTGGAGGCAGTACAGAGGAGGTTCACTAGATTGATTGCAGAAATGAGGGAATTGCAATATGAGGGGAGATTGAGCAGTTTAGGCCCATACTCTTCAGAATTTAGAAGAATGAGGAGACAACTAATTGAAGTGGATAAAATGCTAAACGAGATTGACAGTGTAGACACAGAGAGGATGTTTCCTCTTGTGGGGCAAACTAAAATGAGAGGTCATACATAGTTTTATGATAAGGGGGAGCACATTTTAAATAGAGATGAGAAATTATTTCTGTCAAAGGGTCATTAATCTGTGCAACTAACTACCCCAGAGCAGTGCGTGCTGGGACATTAAGTAAATTTAAGGAGGAGATAGACAGGTTTTTAATTTAGTAATGGATTGTATGGTTATGGAAAGCAGACAAAAAAGCAGAGTTGAGACCAGGATGAGATCAACCTTGATAGTATTGAACAGTGGAGGAGGCTGCAAGAGCTGAATTGCCTACTTGCGCTCCTAGGTCTCATGTTCAAATGGCTGTCAGTACCTGCGCAGTGGGTTGAAGTCATGCCGCCTTATTTAACTTCATAGCCTCAGCTACACTCTCCCCTCATGGGGTCAGGTTAATATTGAGACCACGATATCAACAGAAGGAATTTTTTTGTTTCCATGTCCTTGTTTACTCTGAGTAGGTAGGTTCGGAAGAAAAAGTACATTCAATAAAGTGAAGACCCATATTACTTCATGGTTATAAAAGTACATGTTGCACAGAAATTCACCCCCTAAGTGATCTGTAACACAATATATAAATCCTTAAGCATAACAAAACTCAAATGTCTTTAATTTATTGTTTATAATTTTTAATTTTGTCCTACCATGGATGTAGATTTCAGTGGGGGCAGTGAAGGCGTAGAATTTTCCACTTAAGTTGCACTTACTTTTCTTTTCATAACTCTCTTTAAAATGATTCCAAAATACGTTTGAGATGCTTCATGAAATCAAAAACAAACATGGAGGATAGTAAAATGTATAGTATGCAGGGTAGTTTGATCTTAATGGGATAATAGGTCAGCACAACATCGTGGGCCGAAGGGCCTGTACTGTGCTATACTGTTCTATGTTCTATGTCCATATCAACAGTAGATTGTAAGGGCTTGTAAATCTCAAATGCGACAGTAGTTTCCTCCTCTGACCTCCGACCTCCGACCCAGGCAGGACACTGCTGGGCTGCTCATCTTGAACAATACTGGGAGGCTTGGTCCATTTTAACAGACAGTTGGGCATTGTTTGCGAGGTCTGGGGGAAATATTTGGGTTCATGGCCCATTTGCTTCTGATCACCAGGCCTGCCGCATCCTTCTTTTTAATTATTATTTTCTAACATCAAAATTCATCTTGCCTTCTTTTGGCGGCTTTGGGGGAGGAAGGAGGTTTCAAGAGGCTGCTACAGCAGAGAATGCAGTGTGGATCCAGCCATTGCGGCTGTGTCCTGGTGGGTCCTGTGGTGTGGTGGGCTGCTTCAGCGACGAGGTGAGGGCCGAGTCAGGAATGCAATGGCCCGGATTCCTTGTGGTGTCCTCTGTAGCATTTACGGAGGCATGGTGGGATCCAGCTTGGCCCAGGATTCCTTGTGGCAGCTTCAGTGTCGGGTTTCCTCAATCTCAGGAGTGCTGGAGCTGTGAATTGAACTAAGATGGACTTTGTCTTAATTTTTTAACACATATAATGTCTATTATTAATATGACGCCAGAGTATGATGACTTAAACACTTTTCACTGTAGATTGTTCTCTAAAAATGTAAGTGACAATGAATTAATATATTCTGTCCTATGTTCTATATTCTGTCCTATACTCTATCCACAAGCAACTTGCAGGTTTTGGACTTATAAGAATTAAGTGACGACAGCAGTTCAGTAAGATGCTGGTCAAGTAGTGTTGAGCAACTTTCTGGGTCAGATAATGGGAAGTCCAGCGTAGGACCAGTGTAAACCTAGCCATCCAAAATTAAGCTGTTTTGAGTGGAGTGTGTGCACATGATGCATACTCCCTTCACAAACTGTTAAATTTGAGTTAAGGTCCACATGATGACAAATGACCCCAATTTGTGTTTCATCAGCTGAGTCATAGCAAGTAGTTATCAACTCACTGGGAAAAAATAAATTAAAATTGTTCATGGATGGGAAAAAGGTGGTAAGCATCTTTTAGATTTAAACTCCCCTACCGCTAGTTTCTACTGGGAGGAGAGAGTTGAAATTCCCCCTTTATTTCTCCTAATAGCAGTGATTTATTACTGGCAGTATGGATATCAGTGTGAAAAGAATTAAACTTAAAGGGGGCCCATTACTAGCAGATAAACCAAATGGAGAAATAGTCTAGAAAAGTGGAAAATCCATCATATTATGTACTGTATCATTAAAAAAAAATGAGGAACTTGATGTCAGGTGAAATCATCAGTAATTTCCACTGGTTTTTATCCAAGAATATAACTTCAAATGTGCCAACACATCTTTAAAGTAAATAAGAGGAGACTGGGTCCATGAGGGTGATGTTCCTGAATGTTTCTGGGACTGAGCAGTATGTAATTAATTATTTGTGATGATAATAAGAAAGTAAAAGTGTCATGTTTGGCATTAAAAATAAATGTTTATGGAAATTAATTTGCAGATTTTTTTTGAATATTTCTCTACAGATTTAACAAAGCCCAGTTGTGACTTTAAGTGAATCTTTGATTGTGTTTAAATCCTGTGTGTTTTCAGTCCCCAGGATATATACGAGAAGTCAGCGAGGATATTGTCCAGCAATGTAAAGAAAAACTTGAAATGAGTGCGTGCAAAGAGCTCTTCTGTAACTGTGTAAAGTAAGTGCAAAAACACAAATGTCAGATTTTTCTATTATTCATTGGGAGTGATTTGTGTTCTCCATTTAACAGAAATATCAAGTTACTGCAGTTACTTTCTCATAATTTGAAACATGGTAATTATAATTCTCTTGCTGTTTAGTTTTCACTTAATTATTGCCAGAAGCATATCCTTCCTTTTGAATGACATCCTCTGAAATGTTAGATTTGAGCGTCATTGGTTGCTCACTTTGAGTAATGAATCCCCCAGCACAAATCTGATAAAGATGCCAGGTTCAAGTAGCTAGACTATGAAGTACATTCACCATTTATTACTTATCTTCATTCTGCATTTAGAGCAACCAAAGCACATTTTTTAAACAGAGGAAAATCTGTCACCAGCTCAGTATGTAAAAGCATCTCTGTCCAGTCTACATAACAATAACATTGCTAGACACAATGAGTTGAATTAGGTACGATGAGTTGAGGCACCAAATCAATTTATGGAGAACCTTTAATGTAAAATGATCTCAGAACATATCACAGAGGAAGAACAGAAGCTGAGGAATTGAATGGTTAAGAAATGATAAGGAGTTAGAATGAAAGCTGTAATTCTCCTGGTCCTGTGGCAGGTGTTAAAAGTGTGACAGGAGGAAATGTCAACACAAGAGTCAAGGGTCAAGTGTATTCCTATCTCCGAGTGTCTTGGCGGAGCTGGTACATCAAAGGTGGCACCTAACCATTTAACAATGAGAAGCAATGAATTTGAACAATCAAATGCTCAATTCTGTGCAGATTGCAGACTCTGTTGGGATCTCCCAGCAGTGACAAGTGCCTGCTGACGCTAGAGACCAACAAGTGCCTGAAGGCGGCTTATTATGGCAGGAGGTGGGAGCTTGTGAGGCTGCTTTCTGTTTTTCAACGTCCACCAGAGGCTGTGGATCAGGGCATCAGCTGTGGCCATAAGGGTGTTCTCCACACGTGTGAGCCACCGGCTTTCATTAAAATTTAATTTTAAAAGCAGGACATTTTTATTTGCCATGCTGATATGAAAAAAAAATTAGGCAGCACAGTGGTTGAAATCAGGAAATGATCCCACCAGGCAATTAGTTTAAAAGTGTTTAATATTCCATCTGAAGTTTCAAGAGAGCTTTTTAACGGGAGAAGCAACTAGATGGAATAAGAAGGGGCTCAGTACCTGCAAATTCTGACATCAGTAGCAAAGTACGAAAAGGATGTCTATACAAATGACAATTGTTAGCAGTTGAAGTGATGGAGAGAGTTTAGGGTTTGCAATGGCTTGCAGGATGAAACAACATACCAATATCTAGCTTTATTACAAGATAAATCACATGAGTTATTAGTCATTTATTGCTAACTCCTTTTATCCAAAGGCAATTATTTAAATTTATTGTTCAAAAGTCTAGATTTTTCTTTGTATTTTCAATCAAACAGAAATTGAACAAGGAACTTTACTATCCAGCTTTCTTTAAGAGTGTTTGTTTTGGCACACAATTGAATAGTAGGCTTCAAAGTGTGCCAAATATATGTTAGTATCAGGCAAGCTGTCTGTTGTAGCAGTATGCAGTTTTGAAAAGTTTGCTTTAAATTTTACATGGTTAAATTGTTTTGAAAATGTTTGCTATTAGTTTTTGATTTCTTGAACCCTTCTGGGCCTTTTTTTGGTGGAAAAGATGTTAATTGAAATTCATTAGCACTTTGACACTTAAATTAAGATGTAATTTTAAAATGTCTGCAAATGTTTAATTAAAGTAGACATGTCCAGTGCTCTCTAATGGAAGGACATGTTCTATTTATTGTGCTATGTTTTGTGATTCACCACATCGTCCTCTTTATCTGGTTAAACACACTGTTAGGGGATGCTAATCAACTTATATTCAAATTAGATACACTAAAATCCCTATTTATCTTTGCAAATATGTTCCACTGGACAGCAGTATACAGTACAATTTCAGCATATACTGATATGCTTCCAAATCTTTTTCTTTATTACTTAATATTACAATAATTTATCTTGCATTTTATTTTTCTCATCAACAAGTGTCATAATTCTATGAAGTATCTACCAATTCAAAAGTAGAAAACTTAACACAATCTTTGTGACAGTCTAATTGCTCTGGTTATAAGTATTTTGTATGTCTTTCATGCTTACCGTTTTCAGAGGATAGTATCTGGTACAGTTCTCCCATCCTCGTCCAAATGACCACACATCACATGTAAATGTAAATAGTTACAGACTCTGGGATCCTCCTTTGGCATGTCATTGTAAATCCAAACCAATTTTTCCTTCACATCCACTCACAATGGGCAGTATCATCCCTTCCTGTTATGGCATGGGCAATACATTGAGAATGAAAAATCGGAATCTCTGTGTCAAGAAATTTTTTTTCCCGATTTTTCCTTGAACTTTAAATGGCGACTTGAGAATCTCGCTATTTTGGCACCTTCCTTATTTCTGTGCATTTCCATCTCGGGAATGCCCCAACTTATCTCTTTTCTATGCCATTTCCAGTTTTCTGCTTGCCAGAGAAACTGGATGACACGAATTCCCAAAGTGTAAATTAGAGCTGGTGCTTGAAGGTTATGACTCAGCAAAATTGTGTCCCAGTCGTCATCCAACAGTGCTTTCACCACAATATCCCTACAAGCTGCAAGGCCACCATTGTTTTTGATCCTTGGCCCGCAGAAGTCAGGACCGGCAGACCACCAGCTTTGCCATGTCATTATGCCTGCTCTTGGACCAATTCCCACACCACCTCAGCTCCTTGAGACTTTCTTTGGGTCTCAAGGATATCTACAGTTTCAATGTTTCTGCCAGATCGCTTTACTCGCAAGGTCACACACATCTCTGGATCTGCACTTGGTAAATCTTACAGCTCTTAGCTTGCATTCAGTCATTTTGCACACAGATTCTACCAGCTTTTCTCTATTTCATGTTGCTTCAGGCTACCACCTCTGTGGCTCACCTTGCTTTTTAGATCAGAGAGTGTGGTAGATGGCTTGCGGCTGTGTGGACCATCGGATGTCAGTGTCACACCCACAGCATTACCAGCAGCTCACCCGGCAAGCACGCTGCATGTGCTTCACGCTAACGGCTGCGTGAAAGTCACAGTGAATTAATTTCAAATGGGATCGGGGTGGGGAGCTGCAGTCAGATTCCAATCCAGGGTTTGGGCCACAATCAGACCTGCCGGTCACCTGCAACTGATCCAAGGATTACAGGTAGATCTATCAGGATGCTTTGTAAACCTCAGAACAGAGTTCAGCTGGGGCTGCCCTGTGAAGTCAGTCTGAAGCATGGGCCGGAATCAGGCCTGGTGGTTTGGGTAGTGAGCGGTGGTGGGAGGCTTTACTAGAGAAGTCCATTGGAACCCTTTTGCACTGAGACACTAAGTGATGATGACAGTGATGGGAGCAATTCTAGATAGAAAGGTGTAATCTCAATGATAATCGGAGGGGTCTGGGAGCTCCACGAGGTGGGGTTGGGGTGACAGCAGGGAGGTTCTCATGAGTCAGTCATGCTGGCCTCTGTATGGAGGGAGTGAAGGGGGATGGGTACAGGGGGCCATCAAAATCATGGGAATTCACAGATTCCATGAGCTCTGAGTGTAAAGGGCAGATGTTAATAGTCATATAAAAGGTCCACACAGAAGCAGGGGAGGCTGAGAGGTCAAAGGGGAAACAGGGCACCTGTTTTGTGCTTTGGGAGTGGTGTCAACTTCTTGCAGTTGGAGCAATCGCAGGAATCCTGTCTCCGCTGTTTCAGTAATGCCACCCATTGGTGTCATTTTAAACTACACCAGCAGAACATTCCAAATCTTGGCCTCGAGCAGTCGGGAGCCTCAGATTGTTCACACTAATTTCCTCCTAATCAAGTCAGCAAAACAACTGTAATTGGCCACAAGCACTTCAAATGATTCCAAGTCTCATGTCATCGCTGTTACACCACTATTGCCCCCTCCCATATGCATCATGGGCACAGAAAAGAGATGGGTATTATAGAAGGGGCATGAGGGTGAGGAAGGTGCAAGAGGAATACGTGGGATTAATGGAGAATGTGGTGTGAGGTCTTGAGTCACGTTTACAACTAGACCAATGTCCCAGTAAGCAGTAGCAGACCTTCTAGCCTGCCTGCCTTGCCATGCAAAAACCTCCATGCTGCCCATGGCCTCTATTCAGAGACAGCAGCTTGGACTCCGTCCCAGCCTCCCTCCCTGACATGAAAATGGAGCATGCATGCAGTGCCTTCCATAAAATAAGGGAGTTTGCAGCTTTGGGATCTTTCCCAACGCCCAGTACCCATCCCCTTCACAAAAGATCAAGCCTGCTCCTGGCATTTGAATAGGTGCTTTGTTATGTATTTAAGATGATGTCACCTACAGGGCTATGGACCAAAACTTGGAAGATCGAATTAGGTGAGATAACTCATTCTCAACAGGCTAGGACATGATGGCTCCCTGTGTTGTAAATGTTTTGGCTTCTATGAGTGATCTGGCTGAAGATGTTCACAAACAATTGAAAAGATTAGTCACCACAAAAAAGATTGCGGACAAATAGCTGCTTCATTTGTAAAACATAATTTCTAGGAGAATTCTGGGACACAGGATTATCTTTGTTCCCTGTCCTGTGTGCCTGGAATGGGACTTTCCCAAAATCTGCATAAATGAAAGCATGCCGGACATCAGAACAGCTAACATGCAGCCTATTATCTTTCAACAAGGATAGAGATTACACTTTAAAGAGAGTGTATCTTGTTCCAAGTTTTTCACTGCATTTGGCTAAGAAATACCATTACTTTCAGAAATTTATGGGATGTCAGTTGGCTCCAAATCAGGATTTTGGTGCATCCCATGAATCTGCTATCTACAAGATGATTTATCTGTTGTTGAATCATCAGTTAAAATCCCGAGATAGTGTTAAAAGTGAACTAAGCATTAAAACCTCGTTCTCTGTTGGCAAAATACTTACGTGTATTTTATAATGTTTTAAATATTCCTTTT